TAGCTGATGGAAGCAGAAGCAGACACCCAAAGCTAAACACTGAGCTGAACTCTGGAATCCAGTTGCAGAAAGGGAGGAGTGATGAGCAAAGGGGTCTAGATCAGGCTGGAGTAACCCACAGAAACAGCTGACCTGAACAAGGGGTTGCTCATGGGCCCCAGAGTGATAGCTGGGAAACCAGCATAGGACTGTTCCAGACCCCTGGAATGAGGATGTCAGTTTGGAGGTCTGGGCAATCTATGGGGCCTCTGGTAGAGGGTTAGTATTTATCTCTAGTACATGAATGGACTTTGGGAGCTCATTCCACATAGAGGGATACTAGACACACAGGGGAGGGTCTAGGCCCTGCTCCAAATGATATGACAGACTTTGAAGATTCCCCCATGGAGGGCCTCACCCTCCCTGGGGAGCAGAAAGGGGTTGGGATAGGGGGTGGGGGAGTCAGGGGAAGAGGGGAGGGAGAGGGAACTGGGACTGACATGTAAAAGAAGCTTGTTTCTAATTTAAAATTGGTCTAATTACAATTATAAAAATTAAAATTAAAAAAGAGAATGGGGGTGTTAGGGAGGAGCTCAAAAAGGCTATCTGGGAGGGGTCAGATGGAGGAAAAGGAGGGAGAAAAGTGATATAATTCTGTTTCCTTTAAAAACTGAAAAAAATTTAAACCTAGTAAAGGGAGAACTCTAAAAAAAAATCAGAGTTCCATAACCAATAATCCCTGTGTAATTCCCAAGAGAATTCTACCTACCCAATAATAATAACCTACCCAATAACAATAACCTTAGCTAATATTACCAAGTGAACTAGTAATCACTGAGCGAACTAAATCTAGATTACTTGTTGCTATCACTTGTAAGTCATAGGGATTTCCTATTTTAGAAAATGATGTTTCAAAAATCAGAAATGGTTGAAAAATTGCTAATTGTTTATGATGATTTCACGGATGCTTCATCTTACGAAGACTGAAAATAGATGTTCAGCACCCCTTGATGCCTCATGCCCTTTGGCTCCATGTTAATTGTGGGAAACATGCTGTCAAGGATGATTCACAGTAGCTTAACCAAACAGTAGAGATTTGAAAGTTTCTGGGTCTTCATGGGATATAGTGAATGGATGCTTGCTGCATTCTTTCATTTCAGTGTTCATCAAAAATTTAATTTACTTGGGGATATCACTCAGTTTGCAGAATGCTTACCTAGCATGTACAGAGCCTTGGATTAAGCCCCAGGAACTGCACACATTGGGTGTGGTGGTACACATCTGTAATCCAGCACTTAGGAACCAGGGACAGGATCCAGAGTTTAAGACCAGGCTCAACTACATAGTGAGTCTGAGGTCAACTACACAGTGCCCTGTCTCAAAAGCATAATAATTTCAGTCTAGGTGTATAATACAGTAGTGAAGTGGATATTGAACTTACATAAGGCCCTGGAGTCTATCCTGGCACTAATTATAAATAATCTAATTTATATATTTCCTTAAGAAATAAAGGACTGTGTGCAGTGGGTCTATATGCACATTGTATTTGTCACTGAGTATGGAGCAGAGGCCATTGTCAGAGAAATACTTCATGCAATTAGAAAACAGGATCTATCATCTCTACTTCAAAAGACAACCAAGAAAAGATGAAGTAAGCTATAATGGAAAAGAGGGTATATGGAATGGGCTAAATATCCAGCTGCAGACATTATAAAACACCTACTGCATGGTGAGATCTAAACCATGAATCTATTGATTCATTTTCTAACAAAGTTTCATCCTGAGAGGAATCCCTTAGGTATATGTTTTTATTTTAGGTGCAATGGGAACACTTATGGTGTTCTGATTTTTCAGACCATCTGAAACTAAAACGATGTAAGATTACTAAGTAAACAAACACTGGTGAGAATGGCAGTGACAAGCCACAGCCAGGGAAAGAAGGAACAGAGAAGCAACTCATGAGAACTGGAAAAGGAGTCACATCAACGGCCTTTGCTCAGTGGCCGAGTGCTCTACCCTCCTCGGCTCTTTCTCCCTTCCAACATCACATTTACACTCCTGTCGTTTGCTCTGGAGCTTTGTGAGTTCCATTATGAGAGTAGCCAAGTGTGTAATGTAGTTTGGAAGAGTTTTTATCAGAATATAAAAACATAATAATTTAAGTCCTTCGGAAACAATCGCAGTATTACGGATGGCCAGCTAATGACTGGAACACAACCTAACACAGCCCAGAGCCTTGAAAACCTAAATTCTCAATCGAATTCTGAAATACTCAATTTAAGATATTTTTATTATCTAATAATATAGTTATTTTTAACAGCTATCTAAATTGGTTTGAACTACTTAAATTTTTGACTAGGATGGCCTTTCAAAATTAAAAAGAAAACAAGATTTAGATACTAGTTATTAACTTTGTTTATTAACTGACTATAAAATCCTCGAGGAATAGATTGTTTTTATATTTATTTGAAACTTTGTGCAATTGTTTTTGAATAACATAACTTTTTATGTATGTGCTTAAAAATAGAATTTGTATTATTTTACAAAGTTATCTGAACCCTAACACTCTAATGCTTCTGGATGACTGATTAAGACACGTTTATTAATTTGCATTTTTTCAGTGTCTTGAAAAATAGTTTCAAAGAAGAGTGAATGTGATGGGCATGTGTCTCTTTCTTTCTCACAGTTTCAGCTCTGTTCTGCTGCACTAGTGACCAAATGGCATCTCAAAATGATGCTTGCACACTAAGTAGAGCAACAAGAGAAGACAATAAAGGTTATACTAATCCTCTTTATTCATCCATATGGATGTGATCAGATATTTCACCACGCTATAAAAAGTGGAAAACAGACTTCCTAGGGGAGGCCTTACTTTCTCTGTGGAGATAGGAGGAGGGGGTAATGGAGGGAAGAGGATGGGGGAACTGGGATTGGAATGTAAAAGATAAATTAATAAAAATAAAAAATAAAATGAAGTGGAAAACATTATGTTGATACAAAAATATAGTAAATCAGAAAATATTACTTACATTAGAACAAATTCACAAGCATCGATGAGGCTGATATGATCAGTTTTAAAGTATTCATAGCTATCATATTTTGAAAATTACCTTAAAACCTGAAAGTGTTGTGTCAGTTACAGTTATTAATTAACAACCATAATTTACAGTATCTGATAAAATTGTAAAACAAGTTATAAAAAGCTAAATCAAGACCTAACCTAGGGATAATTACCTTACATGTTAATGGATTAAAATCTCTAACTAAAAGACAGAGTAACCGAATAAATGATGTAATTAGACCCAACTATATGTTTTTTAAAGAAATTCACCTTACCCATAATGTGGAAATGAAGAGATGATATTAGATATTTCATCCAAATGGGATCCAAAGGGAAGCAGGACTATCATGACTGTGTTAAACAAAATGCACATTAGATTAGAAAGGAATTCCATTATATAATGATAAAGGATTGAATTAAAGAGGGAAAAAATAACTTGTTTCATTAAGTTTGGAAACTAATTTTTTTCTGCTGACCTTATCAGAATAAACCATCCATCATTTTAATATTTCAATGGCCTAATAAGAAATCAGCTGTTTTACACAAACACTCTCCTAACAATGAGCCCCTCGCTATAGATACCTTTTCCTGATATATAGCCAAGGTCTCCTGCTTTTCTAGTCTCTCTCCCTTATTTCCTTCCTCCCTCCCTCCTTCCCTCTCTCCCTCTCTGTCTCACTCTGTTTCTCTCTGTGTGTGTAAAGTCTTGGGATAAGTGTGAATACTCTCTCTCTCTCTCTCTCTCTCTCTCTCTCTCTCTCTCTCCATGTGTTCATTGATGCCATGTAACCTACTATCATCTCTCTTTACTGTATTTTTCAAGAGTTAATACAAATCATGTCTTCATGTCTATGCTATTTTTAAATGCCAGTTTTCCCAGTGTTCATACCCAGGTGACTGGCATATCACCAGCTCAAGAAACCTTTGAGATAGTGCCACAAATTAAGAAGAGTGTGTTATGTCAAAAAGATAAACTCAGAACCAAAATTATACTTTTCAGGAAGGTATTTTACCAGACAAATTTAACATTCTTTGACAATTATGTAATTGAGAAATGTTAACGACAGCATGTTTTATAACACTAATGTAAGTTTTACTAGAGTGTCTATTCTAATCTCTTGTTTACAGTGATTTTGTTTTATAGTCAGAGGAAATATGACTAATCTACACCACATAATTTCCTGCTGTAATTATACCAATCTCTTTTAATATTGGACTTCATGAGTCTGGGGTTTCTGTACGAAAAAGTTAATATCATGGCTGTAGTAATCATATTTTTGTATAGGAAAACCATATGCCTTAATAGAGCAAGTGGCCCTTGCTGAATGTTTGGAGTCATACAATCTAAGTGTTTGGCCTGGTTCCATAGTAATCAGGAATCTTGGTGAAGAGAATTCAGAAATTAGGAAAGACTTTAATGTCACACACACACACACACACACACACACACACACACACACACCACTCCCTCTGAGGACCCTGTCAACCAGATATCTAGATGAGTCAAGGATGCATCCCATGGGAGTTTCCCCACAATGCTTGTTTACTCCAGCACTTATGAGTGCTGTAATGTGGAGTCTACAGCATTCCATGACAGTAAGATGACAGACCCTTCCCTTAGAAATCAAAGCAGGATTTTTGCCTTCAGTTGTTGACACTCAAGATGACTGTCCAGCCTCACTTAAGAAACTGGTAATTAGTGGCTGCTAGTTTCATCACCACAAAATTATCCACCCCAAAACAAGAAGTAAGATTTTTAAACTCATAAAGGAAGACATTGCACATTTCCGATTATCCCCGAAAGTGTACAGTTGATCACAATGTTTCTACTATTTGAAACATAAAGAAAAAAAGTTTCACTCACAACTTGATTGCCTATCTTCTTTATATAACTATAGGCTTTAGAACACCTAGAGTTCATTGGTTAAAGGTGTGGAATTTATTTTACAGCTCTATGAAAAAGTCGCGCTCCTTCTGACCAATCTAGGTGAGTACAAGCCTACTGTGTTGTGCAGTCTGGGAAATGAACGCCTACTGTGACTCCTAGTAGGCCAACTGCTATCCAGTTGGTGGCACCACACCCATTAGTTTATAGCCAACACAATTGGACTCAGTGGATTATTTTTAACAAATGAGAATATGAAATTGCAATAGAGTAAAGGGTAAATCTGGGAGGCTTGGGGGAGAAAGTAGGGATGAATATGATCAAAGTACATTAAATGCACATATTAAATTCTCAGAGTTAATAAAAATATTGTATTTTAAAAAGACAGAAATACCTCCTTTACTGATAATTGCATGTAACACTTCATTCTTTCCCTTCAGCAGAACGATTTAAATGTGTCTAGTAATACGATCTTTTCAAACCTGCCATATCCCTTATGTGCCATAAGCAATTGAAATTCAAAGTGGGTATTTTCCCTTATGTACACACAGAAAATAGTATCACACAAACACATATATAGGAAGTGTCCAGGATCATTTCAAATGTGTTCACTAGCTATACCTACATTTTAGAATTGTAGGTGGATTGTGCAAGGAACAGTGGTATATTCACTAATCCCAGGAGGTCAGGAGGCTGGAGCAGAAGAATGATTTTAGCTCAAGAGTTTGAGACATGCTAGGAAAACATAAAAAAATAAACTTCAAAAGTGTCAAGTTTTCAAAGTTAGTCATTTTGAACCCTAGTAACCTTTTAGATCAGGAATGCAGTGAGGGCAATGATGATGGACATTTGTGGAGATACATTCATGTAGACAAATTGTCTGTAAGAATGTTTCTCTGGCCTCAGAACAATCCGATAGCCAGCTATGAGATGTACATTGCTACACTTTCAAGGTATAGATAGCTATTGCTTCAATTTTATTAGTGAGATATTGGCTGTTCTACAGCCAATGAGAAAATCACATGCTCCCACAGGTTTAATATATAGCTTGCTTTAATATATTCCTGTATATAGCTTGTCCAAAGGGGAGACATTCCAAAGTAATTTTTGTAAAATAGCCATTATTCCACTGAACCCATTTATTGAGTTGGTATGTCCTACACAGAGATGGCCACTTTACTGTATCTATCTCCTTTAATGTCACTGGCATCTTCCATCACCACTATGCCTTTACTAAGAAGGAAAAAGATTAACCATGGTAGAGGAAAATGCCTGTTGGTAGACTGTGTCCAGGGTCAACTGGATCAAAGATGGCCAACATGTCATGATTTGAGACAAATGAGAATCCAGTGAGATTAAAGCCATTGAGAAGTGTTCAGTGTTCCTTCCACAGCAGCACATCCTCGTTCTAATACTGATGTTTCAATCATGTTAAATCTGAGGCTTTCTCCCCTCTTCCCTTCTCAGTTATGCTCCAAGGAAGCATCTTGAGTTTAAGTCATGGAAAAGGAAGTGACAGGGTGAAATGTTAAATGTCCAATCAGAAGCTTGGGGGATGTGGTAACAGAGAAAATGTTATTGCCTTAAATACATTTTCTTTGACCTTGCTTGAGCTTAGAAGTCAGCTCCTTGGGAAAGATAAGTGGATCAGACAAGTTGTAGGCTTGACCTCTGGGGTAACTAACTCCATATTTTGGTTCACACCATAGTGTCCAAAGCGTATTTGCATTATGGAAGTCAAAATATGATGAGCGTCAAGTTGGCCATTACTGAGGTCACAGATGTGTGCCACAGGTAGTCAGATATGGGGAAAACTCTAAAGATGAGGCCCTCCTTCCATTTTTATCTATGAGAATGAAAGAAATAGTAAATGAAGGTAAAAGCCTATGAGACAAACATGCATAGTGTCCTGGGACTCGCAGTTCCCTCATATGACATGAGATCTAGAAGCTGAGACAAAGAATCCTTAGGAGCTTGGTGAGGGTCTGAAGCTATGCATGCCCTACTCAACCAGCAGAGAAATCAGGATGCGTAGGTCCTTCAGAAGTGCCTGAAGGCAGGTCAGCTGCCAGCAAACCAGAGCCCCCTGTGCCTCCTGAAGACCCTGTGACTATGTGTGGGGGAGGGGAGAGCAGGAGGTAGGAGGGAGGTCATGTTGAGTCTCTCAAACCTTGCTTCCTTTTGCCCACAGAACAGCCTCGCACAGAATCCGAGTGGGAGAACAGCTTTACCCTGAAAATGTTTCTTTTTCAGTTCGTCAATCTGAACAGCTCCACGTTTTACATCGCGTTCTTCCTCGGAAGGTAAGAAGCACCTCTCTGTGAGCCCTCAGCCCTGGTCAGGGCCCTGTAGGGTGATCAATTCAAAAGTGTAGAAAAAGAAGACCAGCTACCTCCTTTCCCTCCCCAAACTGCCAAACCACCTCACTTCCTGGAACCATCTCACTTTCTAGGAAATAGTCTCTACTGAAAAGTGCCCCAGACTCTTGTTGTAGAGATAAGTAGCGGCAAGTAGTTTATGTGTGCAAATAATGGACTGAAAGCTTGTGACTTCCATCTCACCTGAATCAAGCCTGTGGATGTCACACCTAAGTTAGTAGGTGAAATAAGGAGACGCAAGCCAGAGTATGGTCCAAGTCCTGGTTTCACAGGATATTCCAACAGGGAAGATGTTAGAAATGGGAGCCAGAGCGTTCTAGGTACCTTGAAACCCAGCAGGGATGAAAACTTGGGAGGGATCCCCTGTTCTGTGGTATTGATGTATGTATAATCCCTACATATCCTGTCTGAGGCCATGGGAAGCAGGGCAAGGCCTTGAGTCCCGTTTGGTAGAATGGATGCAGTGGCCTCTCTTGTGTTGTTTAGTTATGCCAGCAGCATGAAACTCTCCTCAAGTACTATAACAGTAGCAAAACATACACTGCTGGTATTCAGAAGAAAAAAATGTGGGTAAATGCAGGAATATAGCCTTTGCTTACACAGGCTGGGGCACTCTGAATTGAGCAGGGATGTTCAAAACCAGAGGAAACAGCAGGAATGAGCCATTCCCCTCAGAAGCTGGGCAGGAAGGCCAGAGGGGAAAATGTTCCTGGGAGAATCCCAGAAGCTCAAGTACTGACTACTTTGGAGGGTTTCCTCATTCCTGCTGAGGTGATCCCTAAGAGCTCCCATCACTGACTTTAGAGAATACACTAACTTAAATGTAATGTTTATGGAAAGCCTAAACCTACAGATTGCTAATGGCTTGCTTCTGTGTTGAAGATTCACAGGACACCCAGGTGCCTACTTGAGATTGATAAACAGGTGGAGGCTAGAAGAGGTCAGTACTCTCCCCCTTGTTCCCTGTTTTCTACAGACTTCCATTAAAAAGCCTTAAGGCAACTTTGTGCAGAGTAGAAACCTGCCCCTCTTCTCTTCATTGACTGCTGTATCTGTTTGCTTGCCTCACAGTGCCACCCCAGTGGATGCCTTATTGATCTCTGCATGCAGATGGGTATTATAATGGTGCTAAAGCAGACATGGAATAATTTCATGGAGCTTGGCTACCCGTGAGTACCTTAGCTATCTCATGGAGAGTCAGCATGGCTGATGATTGGCATTTCTGAGTGTAAGCATTAGGGACTCAACAGTTAAACCTGTGTGTCACATGCAGATTCAAATGTAGTCATAAAGACACTAAACACTGGAGACCAGTGAGGCGGCTCAGCAGGTAAAGCCTTTTGCCACCCAAGCCCAACAGCATGAATTGGCTCTTCTTGAAACCTACATGAAGATGAAAGGAAGCAACTGATCCAAAATTGCCCTCTGACCTCTGCTTATATGCCATGACACACAGTCCACATACATCACACACACACACACACACACACACACACACACACACATACACAAACAACAACAATAAACTTTTAATTAAAAGAATTAACATTGGCTCTTTTAGGTTTATCTCAACTCTTACAAATTGAAGTGAATATTCTCTTTTAATCTTATCAATTTTTTGAGAACTTCCTGTGATGCATTTTAATCATTTCACCCTACTCTTCCAACCCCTCTCAGATCCATCCCCACCTCCCTACCCATCCAAACAAATCATGTATCCTTTTTTTTTTCCTTCTTCTTCTTTTAAGCCTATCATGCTACCCAAATACTCTTGGGTGTGGGGAGGAGTGTGGTTGACCTATCAGTGGTCACCCTCACAGAAAACTGACTTAACATTTTTTTTTATTTTAGAAACACTCTTATTAACATATCAATACCCCATTCCCTCACCCTCCCTTCCTCCCTTGATCCCCACCGCTGCCCCCAGCCCACCCCCTACCCTATCCCTCCCCAGGGATAGTGAGACCCTCCACGGGGAACCATCAAAGCCCATCACATCATTTGGGGGAGAGCCTAGGCCCTCCTTCCTGTATCTGGGCTGCAGTGTATCCTTCCCTAGGAAGTCGGCTCCCAAAGTCCATTTGTGCTCTAGAGATAAACTGGCTCCACTGTTAGAGGTCCCATAGACTGTCCTGGCCTCCTAGCTGGCACCCACATTCATAGGGCTTCGTTCAGTCCAATGTTGGTTCCTCAGCTTTATGACTAGGCTCTCCATGCTCTCACTAGGTCAGATCAACTGTTTCTGTGGGTTTCTCCAGCACCGTCTTGGCTCCTTGTGAGAACTCTGTGCATGTGTGTACTCTGGCTGTGTGAGAGTAGCATGCTTCAATGATGTCTTTGACTCCCTGGGTTCCAGTATTGCAGGTTCTTAGCTATTTATCTATTCACAAGATCTTTATTCCCCTATTCCCATGATAAATCAGAATGTTAATTTAAAACAAAGAAAGTGTAAATTCAGACTACAGGAAAAGGGAACTTGGAAAAGGAGAAAATGTCAGAGATGCCAAAGAGCATGTTTTCGCCCATAAAAACATTGTCACCCAGTGGTAAGATTTTCCAGTTGATGACAGTGGGCAGGAGTTTGTGTCATCTCTGTAAAGACAACCTTGAACTTTGCTGTGACAGTTCCTGCTTAGCTTGGCTTTAAGGACACAGAGCAGCAGCCTTTCTGTGTCTGACGGGATTCCACACCACTGGGTTTCCACTTCAGCTCGGTGACCCTGGAAGGACACAGATCTCCAGGACTCAGGGAGGACCACTGGGCTAGCACAAGCACCTGGGACTTGCTGAATGAGGAAAGTCTTCTCATAGGGCCCTGTCAGAGGCAAGGCCGACTTTTTCTATTCTTAGATTCAAGTTTTGAAATCTTGCTCCAGTGTCCAATGTTTTTTTAAGATTTTTAAAAATAAACCCAAAAATGGAAGTACAATGTTTTACTTTATGAAATATTAAATTAAATTTAATAGAAATATCCAAGGATGACTCAGGACATGCAGCAGAGCTGTGAGTTGAGCTGTGTGTCTGATAGCCACCCCTATTTTTTCCTTCCTTGAATGCTTTTGTTTTATAACATTTAGATTCCTGGAAATACTAAATCCTTGTCACTTTTTCCTGGAACACACCAGCCCACAGACTTGCCTCCTCTGTGTCATTTCCTCCATCTCTTTCCCTGCATGCTGCTAAGGACTAACAGCTCAGCCTCAAGTGTCAGAGTGAGATGCATCCCACAGGAGTTAGAGACCATGTCAAGCTTGAGTCTAAAGCAGCCGAGCCTTCTCATAAGGAATTATAAGAACCTGGATGCCACCAGAGGAAGATGATTGTGATTTCAGATGTTCTAGGTCACTGAAGTCAGAATATGCTGATAACAATAACCCATGTGACAGGACCACTAATGAGTATGGGTACAGACCTAAATCATGTGAGATAGACCTTCTAACCATTGAACATGTGGGTATTACCTTGGTACCAAGTCAACTCAAGGTACTCTCAGCCCCCTATCACTCTATTTCTAAACATGAGACCATTTTGTGGTTGATTAAATAAATTGGTCACCCATTCTGTCTACTTGAAAATGATTCAGGTATTCAGAAGTCTTTCTAATAGCTTCCTGCCTGAGTAAAGCTGGTTTTTAACTAGTTCCAAATTGCTAACTCTCTTCTTTCTCGTTACTTAAGTCTTGTGAACAATTGTGTATATTTTTTATAAGAAACTGATCTTGTCACCCAGGTTAATCCAGAATTGGTGGACCAGAAGAAAAGTTCGACAAGAACATGGGACTGAAAGAAAAATAAATTTCCCACAATGGGAAAAGGATTACAACCTTCAGCCCATGAATGCCTATGGACTCTTCGATGAATACCTGGAAATGAGTATGGAGATCTGTTTTGCCTCTCAGTTATAAATGCAAGCCTTTGCTCTCCAGCTACACTCAATTAAATGTACATCCACTATCATCTGGTCATTCCTGTAAGGGTATTCTGGTGTGAGGTCATTCCAAGCAACAAGTGTAAGGGAAAATGAAATCTTACAATATTCAAAGCCGGTTTGGAGTTATAGCTCAGTAATAGAGTGCTTACCTAGTATGTACAAGGCTCTGGGTGAGATTCCCTAGCACCATAAATGAACAAAGTTCAGAAGACAGTCATTCCAAACCCTTTATAATATGGTATCTTGTTTCTTGAACCTTGAGAAGGGGCTCAAGTTGTAGCCTATGAGTAGAGAGATTTCTTAGCACGTTGTAAGTTCTGGGTTCAATCACTCTCTTCTTTCTTTCTTTCTTTCTTTCTTTCTTTCTTTCTTTCTTTCTTTCCTTCCTTCCTTCCTTCCTTCCTTCTTTCTTTCTTCTCTCTCTCTCTCTCTCTCTCTCTCTCTCTCTCTCTCTCTCTCTCACACACACACACACACACACTAACCCATTTGTGACATTCATGAAGACTCTACTCTATAGCCCAAAGACCTCCTACTTTGCCCTACTGCCCTACACTAACTTATTATGGAGCTAAATAGCCAAGAAAAATGTTGGTGAATTCAGTGCATCAAAAACAGAAAGAGTCATTACTCAAAGGGATTGACTCACACATCCAGCTGACATCTGTTAAGCTTTACTCAATGCCAAAGAAACAACTATACTTGGCACCACAGACAGAAAGGGAATATGACACAGTGCTCAGCTTTTGAGGGTGCATAGGGTAATGGGGAAGAGCCAGAGACAGGAAGCATCAGTTCAGGAAGTGTCACAGTTGCCATAGCATGAATCATGGGAAGTATACTGGGGCAGCCATTTCTGTGGTGGGAGGAAAGTGGCAGGAAGTGAAGAATGTTTAACCCTGGCTACACTCAGCTAAGAAATCAGATTTCTTTACAATCAAAGCCAAGTTAATCTCAGTATGTATCTGGGGAGGAAATAACAATAATGATCTCTTGTCAGATACACCTAATATATAGATATTTTTCTCTCTCTTCTTTTGAAAACCTATTGGTTAAGCTCTACAAACTAGGGGTGAAATGAGAGTAGAGGTGGGCAAGATGAATTACTTTTGAAGGAAGCGATGCTAGCTGGAATAATCTGAAAATTAAAGGAGCACTAGAATTGATGCTTAATGTTTCTTAGATTGCTTCTGTCCTACGTATCTATTGATGTTTTTAGAGTTTCAATTAGAGGACGGCAGAATGATATGACTTGGAAAAGAAATCAATGAGGGCATTAATAATAAAACTTAATAAAGGCAATTCATTAAGAGAAATCACCAATTTTGAGTCTCTTAATGGACTCTCTCCCATAAAGAGGAAATGAGCAATAATGCCCCTGAAAAGCAACATTTATGTGGACAGCGTGCTATAGCTCCTGTGGTACCACTCAGCTTGAAACAATACGAGATGCAGCACAGACAGACACCGGAATTCTATCTGCTTCCTTTTGTTTTTGTTTTGATTTTTCCTAATTTTGCCTATATTTATTATGTTATTAAATACTGTAACCTACTAGGTTGCAATATAAAGTAATAAAAAGTTAAAAAATTTTTAACTTTCAAGTCTACAGATGAATTTTCAGAGATTTATACACAAAAGCAGCCACGTCTATGCAGGCAAGAGGCTGGCAAACCATTGTCCGCAGTCCAAACTCATCCAATAATTTTTATAAGTGACATTTACTAGAAACATCACACACCCACTCCCTTACACACAAATATATCCTGTTCTAAGGACAGGTTGAGAGGGTTGTGCCACTCTATCCATCCATGTACCCTCTAAATTTTTAAGCTTTTATTTAAATGTTCCAGTTGGCATATAGTAGTATCTCACATCATACTCAGTTTTAATCTGAAAGTTATGGCAACTAATGACACTAAATATCTTCCATATAATTATGACCATTTGAATATTCTCTTTAAATTTCTTTCAAGACCCGTGATTTGGCAGGGAGCAGGATATCCTTTTCTTGGTGCTTTATAGAAGCTATTTACATATTGTAAATATGAGTCCTATATTAGTTGGTTTTTCCATTACTGTGAGAAATGTCTGTCAAGGAATAACTCAGTGAAAAAGAAGCGTATTCTAGTTCCTGGTGTGAGGGACACAGTCCATCATGTCAGAGAAGATACTGTGGTGGACAGCTCCATGGATGCAGAAGCCTATGTCAGCTTACATCTCATCAAAACAGGAAGCAACGTGGGCTGGAAACAGTCACACTCTAAATATTAATCATACCCCCCAATAACCCACTTCCTCCAGTTAGACGCCACTGCCTACAGTGGTTCTCAACCTATGGGTCATGACCCCCACAGGGGTCATATATCAGATATCCTGCATCTCAGATATTTACAAAAGAATTAATCACAGTAGTAAAATTACAGCTATGAAGTAGCAACAAAATAATTTTATAGTTGGTGGTCATCACAACATGAACTGTATTAAAGGGTCGCTGCATTAGGAAGGTTGAGAACCACTGGCCTAAAGGTGACATAATCCCCCAAAATAGTACCACATGTTTACTCAAAGATACATAGCTACATCTCATATTCAGACCATCACATGCCAGATAAAGTTGCTGCAAGTCAAGTGCCTTTTCATAGTTGAGGGCTTGTTTTCCTGCCCTTCATGCTGTCTTCAGATGAACAGGTTTCAACTTTGTTCTTCAAAATTAGTTCCAGCTAATTTTACGTTAACAGTCCTAATTTCTATTTTAAAAACAACAGCTTTTGCTGAGATATTGGTTGGGATTTAGTTAAACCCCTAAGACAATTTGAGCAAAACATACATATTTTGCAATCCACGAGTGAGGTATATCCCTATCTTTACACATTTTTCTCCATAGTTTTAGTGTAAAAGATTTTTATTTGCATAGATTAGCTTTTTTTTTACTAAGAATTTAATAATTTTTAATACAATTGTAACTAATGTTGCTTTCACAATTTTTCTCTTTATATGGTTTTCTATATATTTTTTTTTCTGTTTGGGGAATGATGCTTTGTGTGTTGTTTTTATTCTGAGGACTCAAACCAGAACCTCATGAATTGTAAGCACAGAGCTTACCACTGAACTTCACACATGGCCCTACTTCTGTTTTCTTTTTTTTCTTTTTGGGTTTTTTTAAGACAGAGTTTTTCTGTGTAGCTTTGGAGCCTGTCCTGGCATTTGCTCTGTAGACCAGGCTGGCCTCAAACTCACAGAGATCTGCCTGCCTCTGCCTTCCAAGTGCTGGGACTAAAAGCATGCACCACCAATGCCCAGCTCCTGTTTTCTATTTTGTTGCTGCTATATAAAGTTATTATTGGTTTGTATGTTGACCTTGCATGAAGTAAATCTTCTGAAAACTTATATCAATTATAATTCATAGATTTCTTTAGACTTTTCTATATGTTCTCCCACATCATCTACAAGTGACAATAATTATATATTTTCCTTTCTAGTCACTAAACATTTGGGTTAGCCTTGCTTCATTGCACTGAAACCATCCATATAATGCTGGTATGGGCATCCTTGCTCCTAATAGGATGGCAAAAATGTGCAATACATTACTGTTACTAATTATGTCAGTTATGTTTTTATACATTTCTCAGACTAAATAAGTGTTCCCATGTCTGTGTTTTTGAGAGTGATTATCACACATTTTACTTTTACCCAAGGAGCTGATTCTCTTTGTCCTCCAGGACTTACATTGTTGTCATTATAGGTCAGTCAGTGAGCCAGCATTATTTAGAGCCTAACAAATCCCTTCTGTACACAAATCACTTCAATTTGTATGGGAGAAAGAGGAACATAATGAGACTCCAATTCCTAATCTCACAAAGCCCAGTATAATAAGGGAAAAGAGAAACAAAGCCCCCCAAAACAAATAAAGTTCATTCTCTGTTGCTCAGCAGCAGGGGAAGCTACTAGATGAGGCCATGCTATTAGAAATCTCCAGGAGATGGCATATTTGAGCTTAACCTTAAAAGGAATATTGAGTTTCATCAGTTTATCGATAGAGACTTTAAGTGTAATGTTTGACTCACAATACCCCAAGTCCAGTGTGGCCAGAGCAATGGATTTTTTGCAAACCCTGATATATGATGGATGGTTGAACTTGAATCTTAGAAATCTGCATGGAATAATCACTAAGGTCTCAGAATGGCATGGAGAAAAGGAGGAGTTGGTTTGTAGGCAGTGGGAACCTTCTGAATAATTTCTTGTAGGGAGAAGATGTACTATGGCCTGGAACCAAGACATGGTGCAGACATAACAGTGCAGTGGGGAAGAGGGGTGAAAGTGAGGAGAGACAACACCAGTTGAGAAGCCAGAGTATAATCTCAAGGAGGGACAGTGGAAAAGAAGGAGAGTGGGAGACAGTTATGAAGTCATTGATGGACCTTGGAGTCTAATGGTTCTGAAAGCTGAACAAGCAGAGATCTAGTTTCTACCAAGAGGACCATGAGAAGGAAGAATGTGGGAGAAAAAGACCCTCATATTAGAGGTGTGCCATATTAGCATATCTTAACTACTGTGTGAGGAAATACTTTGGAAGTATACAAATATCCTATTTTCAATATCCCACCCACTAATTTTAGTACTATTCCATGGCTTTAAGGTAAAGTTTAATGAATGATGGCTTTCCATTCTTTCCATTCCTTCTATGTTTATGAGTTAAATTCTGCCATGAAGAAGAATAACGCTGCATTCCTTGTGTGTCTTCAGTTTATATCCATTAGTATGTTGATATGCTTATGTTGATATGACTTGGACAATCTTTGGGTTATGATCCAGTGCTGCTATGATTTTGTTGTGCCCAGTATTGCAGCTTTGGTTGTTGGAAGTGCCCATATGTTTGTTCTGTTGATGTGCCCCCATCATTTGCTGTGTATTTCTTTAATTTGTCACATTGTAAGACAATCCAGTCCCCTCTCGTGTTTTTCTATGGCAACCTAGAATCAAGAATTCTGCCCTGGTTCCATTAATTAGTGAGCGACATATAGAAAGTATCGGGACCCGGGATAAGCTTTTTGTCACTGAGATTCCATTATCCTCAGGCCCAGAAAACACCTTTTTGACTTCTTTTCAATCTGTTGTCATGCAAGGTTTCAACATCAGGGGAAAAGAGATGCAGGGAATCACATTTCTTTCCAATTTCCTCTGAATACACTTTATACAGGTTTTGAGAGCCTGGAGAGATGGCTCAGTGGTTAAGATCACTGTCTGCTCTTTCAGATGACCCAGGTTTGATTCCCAGTACCCACAGAGCACCTAACAACAATCTGTAACTTCAGTTTCAGGAGATCTGACACCATTCCTCCGGCTTTCATAGGCACCAGTCATGAAAATGCTGCAAAGACGTACATTCAGGCAAAACACTGGCACACATTTTTTTAAGTTGGCATTTTGGATATAAAGTAAAAACAAACAAATAATAATTATATGAAAACAACTTCTTTTAATAAAATAATAGGACTTCAAAAAAAATGAAAGAAACTGGACCTTTTTGTCCAGTCTTATGGCCATCTTGTTGGGGTTTTTTTTGTTTTTGTTTGTTTGGGGTTTTTGTTTGTTTGTTTTTGAGACAGGGTTTCTCTGTATTGTTTTGGAGGCTGTCCTGGAACTCGCTCTGTAGACCAGGCTGGCCTCAAACTCAAAGAGATCCTCCTGCCTCTGCCTCCTGAGTGCTAGGATTAAAGGCGTGCGCCACCAATGCCTGGTGGTCATCTTGTTATAAACAAAGTTTCCTTCAGTTTGTGATTCTTAATGATTGGCAAAAATATGATGACACAATGACACATTCTAATTACTGTCTTTTTGAAGCAGTCAGTGGTAGAAGACTAACATTATTCATCATCTTCCTTTTCCTCCCTAGTCCTTCAGTTCGGATTCACAACTATCTTTGTGGCAGCCTTTCCCCTAGCACCACTTCTGGCCTTACTGAATAACATCATCGAAATCCGACTTGATGCTTATAAGTTTGTTACACAGTGGAGAAGGCCTTTGGCTTCGAGGGCCAAAGACATAGGTAAGTTGGCTTCAGATAATGCTTTTCTGAAGATATAAAACATCTTGTAGGTAAAATTTAAGAACCTGCCTGGAGTGGTGGCACATACTTTTGATCCCAGCACTGGAGGGACAAAGGCTGGTGAATTTCTAGTAGATTAAAGCCTACTTGATCTATATAATGAGTTCTAGGCTCTCTGGGGCTGTCATTAGATAAATAAATAAATAAGTAAATAAATAAATAAATAAATAAATAAACTTTAGGAATCCTTAAGGTTTACATGGAAGAGGGGTTCAACTGATTTTTGAAAGAAAAGAAATATGTTAGTTTTTTTAAATAATATTATACAAGAAACAAAACTACCTGTTTAGATTGGTTTAGATTTCTAGTGTTTTATGAATTAGTGCTTAAATAGATTCTTAGCTTGGTTACTTCTACTGTAAAGACTTTAGAATCTAAAATTTTGATTCATCCCTTTTAAAAAATAGACCTTCTATTTGTTCCTCCTTCCACTTTCCTCAATGTTCTCCTGACTCATATAAAGCAAAACCTGATTTCTCTAGAGGCAGAAATGAGCTTTGGTCTTTGGCTAGAGATACTGTTGGGTTAACTGCCACACTCTCAACAACTGCTGAGATGGGCATTGTCTGATACATGTCTACATCCAGTGCTGAGAACAAGGCAGGCACCAGCCAGTGAGTGTGTCTGGGAACTGGATACAGATGTTTTGTTCAGAGTGGCCTCTTACCCACCAAACAAAGCAAGTGTTTATTCATTGGTCATTGGCTTTGCCAGTGCATCAGGGACAGTCTGCAAAGATGAACAGAAGGGACCTGGTCAGGACCACTGAGGAGTTCCCAGTCTGTTAGAGGCTTGACACTGGGATGATTTTATCCAATGACACATGAACAGGTAGGACTTGTTAGCCAGAATTCTTTGACTTATGTCTGATGCTGACCAGTAAGCTTTAAGTACGTTGGCACATGAATGGAACTACAGAAATTCCTTCAATTCCAAACTGTTTGGAAGCAACAAATTATAACTCCTGTTGCCAGAGGCATTTGGAAAGATGAAAAGGATTATCACAGGTGGATTAGCCTTGTTGTTTTTCATTCTTACTGAAGAAACTAATACCACATTTCTATTTGAATAGGAATTTGGTATGGAATTCTCGAAGGCATTGGAATTCTCTCTGTTATTACGAATGCATTTGTCATAGCAATAACATCTGACTTTATCCCTCGCTTGGTATATGCTTATAAATATGGACCTTGTGCGGGCCAAGGAGAAGCTGGGCAAAAGTAAGTGCTATAAAATAATTAGGAAACTTTGTTGGCCATTGTGTGATGTTGGACATTGAGAAAGAAGCTTTTATACTGGGGCAGGAACACACAAGCCCAGACAAGGCCTGTGGTATGGGAAGTGAAATTATATCATCACACTTTCAGCCAAAGAACACACATCCCATTTACAAAAGGACTGGGACTCAAACAAGTCGGACAAGTTTCAGATAGAATCTAATGTGAGGGCAGCAGTTACATTTTCCTCTGACTCCTGCCAACTCTGAATTCAGAAATGTGTAAGATCCTAATGTGTGTAACAACAAAAACAGCATGTGACCTAGTGTAATATGTAGTTATGGAAATGCTATGAATGTACAAGATAATTACTACCTGAGATTTGCACTGTCATGGTGTATAGACTGCAGATTTTACATGGGGACTGTGGAACCCTGCACCTAAGACACAGAAGGTACTCAGTAAAGATCTGTAGAGTATGAAGATTATTTTTTCCTAGCTATGGTCATAACTGTGTCTATATTTTGCCAGTCAAATTAAAATACACTCCTGTGTTCTGAGGTTCAAACTAGAATACATATAGTCAGATAAAAAATAAGCATCATTGTAACATGCCACCTAGCTTTTATTTTTATACTTTGCAAAATATACTAACAGTCCCTAAAATCACAATAATAATCTAACTCTAATTGTGGTGTGTAAGTTTGTGCCTAAGGTCTTTGATGCCCAGAAAATCATCTTACATGGGCTGGTAGCTAAGAGAAGCAGTCCTGTTCCCTGGTTTACAGCCTGAAGCAAATTAATGTTCCCTAAGCCACTATAGGTAAATAGAGTAACTCATCTGAATTAAGCAAACCTAGTCAGGATCCAGTTTCATCATTAATCCCACACAATTGCACTAAGGCCTGGATAATTGTGGGGGAGGCAGGTGATAAATCTCACAATCCAGTCATTTGAAGAGGAAGCTTCTATGAAGTCTTCTATAACAGTCATGGGGCCATTAAACACTTAAAGTCTAGCAACTTTAAGTGAGCACACCAACTCTTTAGAACAGAGATCTAAAGTTTTAGATTGGACTGCCAAGACATTGCTTCCTACTGTCCACATTCCCTGCTTGACATGGCCTGAAGAAGTGCTCCTTTGCTGCAGACATTTTCAGGTATATTCTGCATTTGACTCTCAGAACAACTCAGAGAAGGATATGCACTATTTTCCTCACTGTGGACAACAGAGAGATTTTAAGGGGACAATTCCACCATAATTGTTGGAATATGAACACAGGTAGAGTTACACCCACACAGACCTCTCCATCCTTAGCTACAGGGCCCCAAATGGCTCTCAGTTTCACCTCACTGTAAACCTCCTGAGTTTCAGCCTCAATAGTTGAAACTTTTTATCCTTCCCCTGTTCTTTGTATAGTGGAACCTATAGTTGGTTTTGGAGAATCAAAAATGAACTGGAAACAGATTTATAGAGTTGGTAATGAACCAGAGTTTTAGAAGACTAACAGCTACCAGTCTCATAGTAGGTAAAGTTTCATCAAAATTAGAATTTAACCTATGCTTTGGTTCCATTTTATTAGACTATTCAGCTCTGGGCACTTTCTTTGCAAACTTTTCTCTTTATGAGCCATCTGCAACTTTCCAGGTTATACCTCTTGTCTCTAATATATTGGCCATTATTCTTATTTTCGTGTGTGTGTGTGTGTGTGTGTGTGTGTGTGTGTGTGTGTGTGTGTGTGTGTTTTCCTTCATGAATGGCTCTGTCATAGCAGACACACTATTTCTTTATGGTGGTTTTCCCCCTCTTTTCTGTTGTCACTGTCCTTTTTTTCAGCTTTCTCCCTTTCAACCTCTGTATCTTCTTTCAATTTGGACATGCTCTAGAAATAAAATAGCTTATGGAGTAGAAGCACCATAAAATCCTAGGAAGCCATAGCTTTTGTGATGCAATGAGCAGCTATGGTCAAATCCCACTTGGGATTTAAACCAGCTGTAAAATGGCACATTTCAATTTAAATTGAACCTCAACCAAAATACTCTATCCAAGTGTCCTCTTGTCCTCTCTCAATCTCTCTCTCTCTCTCTCTCTCTCTCTCTCTCTCTCTCTCTCTAGCTCTGTGTTACATCAGAGCCTCCTCCTTACTGTTGGGTGAGCTTACCTTGGCTCCTTCATGGATGACAGTTTCACTCGTGTGCCTTGTGTCCTTTGGTTCCCATGACCTTTGTCCCTGTGATGGCACTTTTTGGTCTTCGTAATGTTGTTCCTATTGGTGCTGTCCCCAAGCAGATTGTAGACAGCTTAAAAAGAAGGATCAATTCTTTCACACCTGACCATGGCAGATAGAGCCACTCTAATGTTGTGGATGCACAGCAGTCAAGTGTTCAAGGCTGCTGGTAGGAAGACAGTCTGTTGTAGCCAGGGCTGAGAATGAAAGACATGGTTCAAGGCAGCATTTTCTACACATCACACGGACAAAGATCTTTTGACTGCGTTCCTCTTGGTGTGTTCTTCCTCATCTTCTGTAGCTGCAGCTCATACTGTTCACTATTGAAGAATCCACCTCCTCCTCTGGGGTGAGGCCACCCTTCTTCTGGGGTCCTTAGAAGGGAACTTGGAGAATTTTGGAAAGGCATTATGATTCGGATCATGATAGGGATGCAGAATGCTCTTAGCCTTAGAACTAACATGTGGCATGTACATAAAAAAAAGTCTCTGATTAGTTACTAAATCAAAGCTGCTTTTCCACAAAAACAGTGATGTCATAAAGGGTTTGAGCCTTGATCAAGGACTCTGTGTTCATCACAAAGTTGGACATAAGCATATCTTACTCAACTAATAATAGAGAATATATTTGTGTCAATCCTATAATCACTTCTGTACTCATCTTATTAGCCTGAGACACTTTATCTATAAAACACATTTGGCTTTAAGTATATAAACCCAATCTTATTTCCCCTGGCATCTCCAACCTTTGATTTCTATTCCCAGGCTGTTGGTGTCACAATACTAAAACCTCAAAGTCCAATGTTATAGCTAATTCAAAGACATTCAGCAGCGAGTTTGATCTGAAATCCACAAACCTGAAAGCCAACTTCTGGTTCTGTTCTTCCCCCTAATAGTGGTGAGAATGACCACTGCTGTGTCTCTTGTCTTGTCCATTAAGGTATTAAAAACAATAAGTAACTGATGTTTTCAAAGGAGAATTCTCATGTTTAAAGACATGAAATGTTTTCAAAAGTTATGTGAGAGCAGTCTGTGTCCTGAGCCAAACAATACCTTTTGAGAGATACATTCTAAGTCCTTTCTTGGCCTTGCTTTCAAAGGTGTCTACTGGGCCTTTAAGAAAATGTCCTTTGTAATTACAAGAGACCTTTTTTGCCTGATACTTTTTTGGCTAGTGCCTCTCATTTCTCTCTCATCAGCAGGATAGCTTCACCCTCTCTCTCTCTCTCTCTCTCTCTCTCTCTCTCTCTCTCTCTCTCTCTCTCTCTCTCCCTCAATACACACAGAGAGTAATAATAATGAATAAATTATTTTAACTAAAGAATTATATAGGGTGAATATGAGCAAACTACAATTATATGAAAGTGTTGTATTGAAATCCCTTAGTTTGTATTCTAATAAAAATAACAAGGAAGAATGCTGACAGAGTGATTGATAGAATTACTGACCCCATCTACTCATTCGGTTCAGAAGGATCAATAGAATCTCTGACATAATTTTCCTCCAATTTATTTATTTAAAAAATAAATAAATAGCTGGGTGTTGGTGGCACACGCTTTTAATCCCAGCACTCAGGGGGCAGAGGCAGGCGGATCTCTGTGAGTTCGAGGCCAGCCTGGTCTCTAGAGCGAGTGCCAGTATAGGCTCCAAAGCTACACAGAGAAACCCTGTCTTGAAAAAACAAAATAAATAAATATAAATAAATAAATAAATAAATAAAATAACACTTAAGACATCCACTCTACTCCCACAATCCTCCAGTTCAAGGGGTGAGTCATTCTGACTGCAGGGGAGGACACCTTCTCCGAATAGGTGTTATTTTGGTTGACCACTGAAGGATAAGTAATATTTACTCTTCCAGACAAAGGAGCAGGAGTTCCAAAGGAAAAGGAAACCCAAGCAGATGCGTGAGTGCCTGTGATGCATTCATGGCATAAGCATGACTATAGAGGGATATGTAAGGTGAAGAGGAGGACTTAGTGAGTTAGGGGATCAAGGAACAACCATTGTTGTAATGATTGGATCTGCATTCTCATTCAGGTGCATGGTTGGCTATGTGAATGCCAGCTTGTCTGTCTTCCGAATTTCTGACTTTGAGAACCGGTCTGAACCAGAATCAGATGGCAGTGAGTTCTCAGGAACTCCTCTGAAGTACTGCAGGTGAGTATGAACCTCTGCAGGGGAATGGCTGTGAACCTCTGCAGGTGAGTGAGTGTGAACCTGTGCAGCTGAGTGTGAACTTCTGCAGGTGAGTGTGAACCTTTGCAGCTGAGTGAGTGTGAACCTCTGCAGCTGAGTGTGAACCTCAGTGTCCTTTCTGCCTAAGTTGAACCAGCTTTAGCATGGAAAGGTTTTGTTGACACCTCTTCTGGCTGAGTTTATTTAAAGAACTGGTTCTCATAATCAAAATAAACTATATGGAAAAACATGTCACAACAGGAATATAAATCATGTCATTTGCTTAATTTTTTTTGTTTTTTTTTTTTCAAGCAAGGTTTCTTTGTGTAGCCCAGGCTGTCCTGAAACTCTGTAGACCAGGTTGGCCTTGAACTCAGAGATCTGCCTCCCTCTGCCTCCTGATTGCTGGGATTAAAGGTGTGCACTATTACTGCCTGGCTTAATTTTTAAATAAAAAATAAAGCAGTGTTTCTCAATTCTTAAGAGATTAAAAATCACCTGCTGATTTTTTTCATTTTTGCTAGTTCTTTGAGAATTTCACCCAATATAATTTGGCTATATTCACTCCCTCCCCTGTCTACACCCTTTCCCTTCCCACTAAATTTTGTGTCCTCTTTTTCTTTTTAGCTCATCAAGTTCAATGTGTGTCTCCCATATGCTCTTGGATATGTGGTCTTCCACTGGAGCATGGTCCGCCCATCAGGGGCCACACCCTTAAAGAAAAGCAACTGTCCTTCCTGCCAATATCAGTTGCCAATAGCTTCTCACTTAAGGGTTGGACTTCATGTCTGCTTTCCCTAACAATACTGGAATTTTGTCTGGCTTGAGCTTCCCAAGATATGTCACAAACACTGTGAATTCATATGTGCAGCTGTCTTACTATGTCCAGAAAACACATTTCCTTATATGTACCTCCTCTGACTTTCACACCAGGTCCACAATGACCCTTGAACTTTGGTAGGAGGAAGTATAATATAACTGACCCATTTAGTGTGGTGGGTCATTCTGTATCTTATTCTCTGAATCATGACAAATTGTGGGTCTCTGTGTTAGTCACTATCTACTGCAAAAAGAAACTGCTTTTATCACGGCTGAGAAATTCACTAACCTATAGATATAATGATAAATTTTTAGGCACCCATTTAATAGTATCCCAATTTAGCAGAAAAATAATAGTAGGCCGGGCGTTGGTAGTGCATGCCATTAATCCCAGCACTTGGGAGGCAGAAGCAGGTGGATCTCTGTGAGTTCAAGGCCAGCCTGGTCTACCGAGTGAGTTCCAGGACAGTCTCCAAAACAGTACAGAGAAACCCTGTCTTGAAAAAAAGAAAGAAAGAAAGAGAGAAAGAAAGAAAGAAAGAAAGAAAGAAAGAAAGAAAGAAAGAAAAATTTCCCTAGGGCCTATGACCTATCTGGCCATAGGTTCTTGGCCATATAATAGTTCCAGGCACAGATTTGAACTTGTGTAACCATCCTTAATTCCAGTCAGAAAGTGGTTGGTTACTCCCATGACATTTATACCACTATTGCACCAGTAGGCTGTCTTGAGAGGCCAGATATTGTTGTAGCTCAAAGAGTTCACAGCTGGGTGATAATTAGTTTATCCAGTAATGTGTGTAGCACCTCTCAGCACTTTTGGGATGAGGTCAGTGCCAGCTTGATTTATCCATGTTCTGTGACTCAAGTGTTTGGTGTCTTCTATGATAGGGCCTTACTGTCAAGTTCTGGAGAGCAACCAAGAGCATTGACAGTAGCTGTAATGTTTGAGGATCTATGGGACCTTGCTGGCTAGAAACTCCAAAGGGTAACTAATTTGAGCTTTTTATTTGTTAGCTCCTGGTGTTTAGTAGGGATATTGTTGCCACATTAACTAGCACTAAAGACCTTTCAAATTTGTGTATGAAAACCTACTATTGTAGAGTTTCCTAAAATATATACATATATATGTGTTTAAATAGATTCAGCTGGAGAATTTTAAATCCTTCTCTTGTTCATACTGTAATCCAAAACAACTAAGGGCTTAGGGCAAATCCCCAGATGGTTTGACTGACAGCAATCAAGGGTATGATGGGCAATGTTCTTCTGTATACATGCTTTTCTTGTTGGTTAATCAATGAAACACTGATTGACTGATTAGCCAGATAGGAAGTGACATGACTGGGCAGAAACTTGCCACTAGCTAACCGTAGAGATCTGGAGGTCTGTACAGACAGACAAGAAGTAGAATCCAGATATAAATTGGAACAAACAGGAAATCGCTCCCTTCTCTGCGGAGACACTTAGCAGTAAGGTGTGCTGTGGCTTGCTCCTTCTCTCTGATCTCTCAGCATTTCCCTCTGTATCTGACTCCAGCCTTTTATTATCTTGACCAACTAAGAACTCTTGTACAAGAGTACTCAAACTTGTTCTACCTCTCTGTATCTCTTGCCCACACTGTATACCATAGCTTGTTCCTCTGCAGCATGCTCAGGTTCTCTAAAGAGAAATTAAATGATGTCTTAAAGTATTTGTATAATAATATATGAAGAATTTATTGAGGACTGACTATGTGTTGAGAATTATTACTTTGATAATAATACTAACCTTCCATGGTAGGCAGTATTATCCTATCTGGCAGATGACAGGACTCCTAACTTTCATGGTAGCATTCTTCTAAGAAGCCTCATAGCAAAAGGTGCCATAAGTACATGGCTGTGGCACTCCCATGTGTCACACTGGCCTGGAAAGGACACTTTGGGTAGAGTCTAATAGGCTCAGCATAGTTCCCTCTGGCATTAATAAACAGAATCCATGAATAGGAATTTTAAGCTTTCCGTGAGCCACAATCTAATAATCTTTCTTTTATATCATCTCTTAATGACTCACTATAAAATAATACCCTTCCCATTGTCTTTCCTTCACCTTTCATTGTTTTGTATTCTTTCTTCAGAGAAATGAATAAAAGCATAAAAGCTAAATGTTAGTATCTAATATCTCAATTTATTTGCTTAGACACAGAATAAATTACAGAAACTCATTTGGCCTGTGAGGCCAAGTGACACTATCCTTACCATGTAGACAACAATAAAAACCCAGTGACCTGTGCATGCTCAGCTCCAAGAAGACAAAAGATCATGTGAGAATCCAGATGGGCCCACAGATAGGCAGCAACCACATACTATTCCCCTCTAATCCACAAATTAACTAACCAAAGTACCATTAACTCTCAGGTTTTATCACGTATTTTATTTCCATCTCCTCAACTGGTAGAGGGGTCATATATAGGATCTAGTCCTGCACTGGATCTTGATAAAGTCTGATGGGGGAGAATGCAAGCAAGCAACAGTAGTTTGTGTTTTCTTAGAGTCTCCACTGTGTCATGCATAAAGTCATTTATCATGAACTGTTATATGTATATAGCAGTTTAAGAAGAAAAGAAAATGATAGGCATTATTTTAATTTAAAAACCATTTACTCCAAAGCTACACAGAGAAACCCTATCTCAAAAAAAAAAAACATTTAGAAGATTTGGGAGGTGGGACAGTTGTTGAAGTACTTGGCAAGGGTTCAGTCTCCAGCACTCAAACAGTAGAGGCAGGAGAATTAGAAATTCAAGGTCATCCTTGGTTACATAGTGAGTTGGAGGCCAGTCTAGCTCAAAAAAAATAGATAAAAGGTTTACTTAAAACCTTTTTGTTACTTAAAAATAAGATAAACTACAAAACACTGTTAATCTTTTGCTTCCTGTTTATAAGTCTAGCTGTCCTACATAATAAAATAAATTTACCTTTCACAACTACTAACATAAATGGGATCATCTTCATTTAAATCGTGATCATTTTGTTAATGTTTTTAATTTTTTCTGAAATAATATTCACTCACACATGTATGTTGTTCTCTCTCTCATATTTCATATTTCTTCAAAGCTTTCAATTTCAAGAGAAATGCATGCATACATCTGTAAAATACATGCATATATTCATCACGGAAAGGCAGGGTTAGAATTCTTTTTTCAGTCATGTTTCAGGTGATGCACCTGAATTGACTCTCAGCCTGAAAACATCAGAACATACTGTTAAATTTTTAAAACACCTTCTCAAATGGATCAGTGGCCTGGAAAAAATGGTTTTCTAAAACCAAAACTAAGTGGATAAAAAGCCGAGATTACCCAAGAGTATTATAACCAACTTTTACCCAAAGAAAATTTGTTAAACTAGGTAAATTAAACTTTGTTTCAAAGGCTTCTCATGGGTAGAAAAGTTGAAAGAAAACAGAGAAGTGACAAGTCTATGAGTAATTCTAAATATATACTACATAAAACAACTATAATGTAGTCACACTATAATATTGTCTATTGTACAGTAGTAAAAATAAACAAGTTACAGGCACTATAAGAGTAAAAACAAAAGCAAGTGTCAGAAGACTGTGTAATATGTAATATACTTTGAGGGTTGGAGAGATGGCTCAGTGGTAAAGAATATATACTACACTTGAAGAGAACCTGAGTTTATGGACTATGGGCTCCTGCACTCACACATGTATGTTGCTCTCTCTCTCTCTCTCTCTCTCTCTTCTCTCTCTCTCTCTGTCTGTCTGTCTCTCTCTCTGTCTGTCTCTCTCTGTCTTTCTCTCTCTCTCCCTCTCCCTTTCCCTCTCTCCTTCTCCCTTTCACACACAAATGTTATTAAAATTAAAAATAAATCTTTCTTAAAGGTATAATATACTTACACCAAGCTCAAAAGAAAACAAAAGTAAATAGTATATTCACACACACATACACATACACACACACACACACACAGAGAGATAGATATAGATATAGATATAGATATAGATAAAGATATAGATAAAGATATAGATATATTCTGTTGTGGGTACTGGTGTGAAAAACATTTAAGAAGTCAAAGATGATGACACTACAAGGAATTTTAAGTCTAGCCTTCTATAAATACAGTTTTGTCTGGTAAGCGTAAGTATAATAAAATGCATTTGCATTTTGCTTCTAGAATATCTACCTGCAGCATTTTGAAATACTAGTACCTAAAAATGAGCAGAAGAGTAACATGGGCCTTGGTTATAGGATAGCTAAGGAAAAGTAAATGGAGTTTAGGGTAACCTGTTCAAAGTTTAGTCCTGAACAAAGTTCTTCTTCTGAAAATTCAGTGCATAATTATTGAACCTATGCTAAGGTCAGATGAATAACCCCATATCAGACAGTGGAAATTTCAGTGCTCTGCCTAATCCCTACTGCCACAGAGAGAACCAGCAATTTAGAGGCATTAAGGTATTCACTCAATTTCAGCACAAATTCTTCATTATCAGTATCACCCTAGGATAAAAAACTCCATGGTATATCATCACTACACACCCAAATACACTAATAATAATCAATATGATGATTGTGATGGTGATAATTGTAACCACTAATAGTTTCATATCCTTGATATATTTCAAGCATGGTGTTTACAACAAACTATTCTGGATTATCTGTAAATCAATACTGATCCCGAGGTGAGAGGTTAGACTCCATCTTTTACAAAAACCTGAAAAATTGTGTCTTGTTGAGACAGGTAATTCTGTGCATCTTCACAGCAGAAGTGTTAAAACAACCAACACATCTAGATCATTCTAATGTTCTGTAACAAAAAGAAAACTAAGTTCAAAATGCATGAAAACTTTATGACATTGGAGTCACTTTTCAATAGTGACAGTTGTAATGGTGATGGTAACAATGAAATTTACTTGTGTAGATTAAAGTTTTCAGGATGATGCCACATGGCCATTCAACAAACAGATGTGCAGGCAATGCCAACTCAAATAGGAGAGACTGAGGCTGTAGTAGGAAGGACTTGTTAATGGAAAGCAGCAGAAATCCCATGTAAATTGATATGAACAGACAGAAATATATTGTTTTAGGCAACTGGGAGCAGCAAGAAGCCATACAAAGTTTATTTCATTAATAACTGGGTGCTAAGAGCTGGGCACAGTCAGCAGAATATTATCTCTGCTGTTCCACTTTGTTCTATTTTCATTCTGTAGCATGTTCTCTCCCCTTCCCCCTCCCTCCTTCTCTGTCTGCCACCCATATAATTTGTGGTAGCTCCTAGCAGTTCTGTAGACTAAGGTCTTAGTGATAATTCATTTAATAATAGTTCTAATGGACATCCTGTTGATGAGTAGGGAATCTTTTGAGTTGAGGTTGGGTTGAGGTTACCCAGAGACGAGATATTCTTTTTTGTAAGGGGAAGGGGTGTTCAAGACAGAGTTTCTCTGTGTAGTCCTGGATGTCCTGAAATTTGTTCTGAAGACCAGGATGGCCTCAAACTCCTAGAGATCTGCCTGCCTCTGCTTCCCAAGTTATGGGAGTAAAGGCATGTGCCACCACTGCCCAGCTAGAAGAGATAGTCTTTTACCAAAAGAAGAAATGCTGGACAAACAAAGCAACAGATGTCTAACATAGAGAAAGGTTTTGTTTGTTTTCAAAATTTGTTCCCATGTATAAAGACTACGTAGTGGAAATGGAAGAGATTTGAGGACCTGAAGAATCAGAGTTGAAATGCAACCTTCTCCTGTGTTTGTAGATATCGGGACTACCGGGACCCTCCTCATTCACTGGCACCCTATGGCTACACACTACAGTTCTGGCATGTCCTAGCAGCCCGGCTGGCTTTTATCATTGTGTTTGAGGTGAGTTTTCTCAAACAGTTCCTTATTTCCTTTGGCATAATGAAGTCACTTGGAGGAATGAGAAATACGTGGCAGAGACTTTCAACACAAATTCCAACTTTCTCAAGTAGCCTGGCCATATACAGTGGCCTCTTTTTCATCTTTTTCTGTTATGGGATTTCCTGCCCAGTTCCACAGCTGCTTTGCCCCAAAAGAATACACAGACACTATATTATTAATGAAACTATTGGCCAGTGGCTTGGGGTTCTTTTTGGCTAGCTCTGTCTTAATTATTAACCCATAACTACTAATGTATGTATTTTTACATGATCTTATCTTACCGGAGAACACCTGACTCTCATCCTCTCTTCCCGGGCTCACATGATGACTTCGGTCTGCCTACACTTCCCAGAATTCTCCTCCGCTGGTAGCCCCTATCCTTCCTGCCTGGCCACTAGCCACACAGACTTTTATTCATCAACCAATAAGAGAAACATATACACAGAAAGACAACCTCATCATTTTTCCTTAATTGGAATATTTGAATTTTCCAAGAAAAGTTTCAGAGTTTCTCAGTAACAAATCAGGAATCATGGGTCCTACAATTAATATTCTAGGACCATGATTCTTTTTTAATTATTTTTTATATATTTTATTTATTTATTATGTATACAACATTCTGCTTCCATGTATATCTGCACACCAGAAGAGGGCACCAGATCTCATAAGGGATGGTTGTGAGCCACCATGTGGTTGCTGGGAATTGAACTCAGGACCTCTGGAAGAGCAGTCGGTGGTGCTCTTAACCTGTGAGCTATCTCTCCAGCCCCCTAGGACCATGATTCTTAAGCTTTAGGGGAAATGCAGTTTTTCCATCCCCACTTCCAGAGGTACTGAGACATCCCATTTGTGATGTCCTCTTCACAAGTCCTCCAGGATGGCCGGGTGTTGGTAGCGCTCACCTTTAATCCCAGCACTCGGGAGGCAGAGGCAGGCAGATCTCTGTGAGTTCGAGGCCAGCCTGGTCTCCAGAGTGAGTACCAGGATAGGCTCCAAAGCCACACAGCAAAACCCTGTCTCAAAAAAAAAAAAAAAAAAAAGAAGATGAAGATGAAGACGAAGACGAAGACGAAGACGAAGAAGTCCTCCAGGATGATGCACATACTCACAGACCATATGGAAGACACTGAACTTGATACCACACTTGTTGCCTCTGTGCGTGTCACTGTCAAATTATTTCAGCACTGATTACTGAAAAATCAAAATGGACTTAAAAAGTACAATCTTCCTAGCAATTGCTTATATTGTATTTCAATAAAAATATATCAGCTATTTTCTTTCAGGCTTTTAGGATTTATTATCACTTTGCCCCATAACTCCAAACAGACAAGAGAGGATGATATTAAGTTCTTTTCCTCCGGAAATTAACTAATTGATGGCTCAGTCAGTCTTTCAAACATCTTTACTATATTTGTTTGTTTGCATGTGCGTTCGAACACCAGTGTGAATGTGTGGACATCAGGGAGCAACCTATTGTTGTGGTCAGTTCTTTCCTTCCACCATGTGGATGTGGGGTGTGGAACTCAGTTTGTTAGGCTTGATGGCAAGCATCTTTACTCAGTGAGCCATCTCACTACTCTCAGTCCCTTAGAACATAAGTTTTCTCTGTGTGGTGGCACATACCTTTAATCCCAACACTCGGGAGGCAGTGACAGGAAGATCTCTTGAGTTCTAGGTCAGCCTGGTCTACAGAAAGATTTCTGGGCCAGTGAGACTCTGTCTATAAATAAATAAGAAGTAAATATGCTTAACTTAACAGAGTCTTCATTTTTTCAAACTAAATCAGAAAGCATGCTATGGAGATGTCTCAGTGGGTAAAGTGCTTATTTACAAGCATGAGAGCCTGCATTTGGGTGCCCAGCACCAATAAAGGTAGCACATACCTATAATACCAGCATGGGGAGAAGTGAAGACAGGTAGATTCCAGGGGCTCACTGATCAACCACTCTAGCACAAACAATAAGCCCAGTTTCAGTGAGAGACCCTGTCAAAAAAACCTAAAGTGAAATGTGGTAGAGGAAGACTTGAAACACTGACTGCTAGCCTCTGTATGCATACATACTAATAAACACATCTGCACACACACACACACACACACACAATAATAATAATAATAATAATAATAATAATAATAATAATAATGGATATTATTAAACTACTTAATGGCTTTTCATTTAGAACTTTCCGTATCATTTCTGTATATTGTTATTACCTGTTTAAAGCACTATAGAAATACAGAGAAAAACCTCTTGATTTGTCAGAATTTTGTACCATCTGTGTGTCACTACTGAGTTTGTTTAAAAAAACTGAAGAAACCTTATTCCTATTCATCAGCACAGATCTATTTTTCTTAAGTAGTTTAGAATTATAAGGACTCTTATTCACACTGTCATCTGTTAATTCATGAGTCACCAGGATATAGACAGACAAAGATGGCTGTGATTCTAGAATCCCAACCATTAACATTTCAGGTAAAGAATGAGAGTGGCACTTTCCCAAAAAGAGAACATGACCATTTAGCTAGGCCCATGGGTGACTCTCACTCAGGTGGACAGTCAGCTCCTAAGCAAGGAAACCTTCTGAGCCAGGACTTGCTCCTGTGGTTTCTGTTTTCCTAGTCTCTGTTGAGCATCTCTCCCCATCTCCCTCACACCCTGGTCCTCCTCTCTAGATGGTGTCAGCAAACCACATTCAGTTCTCCCCCAACCTTTGTCCTAAAGTACATACCTCCCCAGCCTCACCCCACTCCCACATGTCCCAGAGGCAAGGCTTCATGCCCCAACGACTCTTTCTGATTCTGTTGTGTTCTCTGTTGTGTTTTTTTAGCACCTCGTGTTTTGTATAAAGCACCTCATTTCCTATCTGATACCAGACCTCCCAAAAGATCTAAGGGATCGAATGAGGAGAGAGAAGTACCTGATCCAGGAGATGATGTATGAGGCTGAGCTGGAGCGACTCCAGAAAGAGCGGAAGGAGAGGAAGAAGAATGGAAAAGCTCACCACAACGAGTGGCCATGACCAGGTAGTGTGCCCTGGGGGAAGCCACAGTCAGGTCAGGTGAGGATCAGCTGCCCCAAACACTCAGAAACAGAATACAGAGTTTTCACTAAAGGGTCAAAATAAGCCTCTTAGATGCTCCCCAAACCAACTTGTTTTCCTAATCATTACAACTCAATCTTCCCTCTGGCATGGTCAGGCTACCTTCTCCTTCCCTGTCAAATTCTGGACTGGAATCAGTCTGTTTGTAGGTTGGCCAGGTAAGATAAACCTTCCTCTCCCTTCCACTCCACCAAGGCTATTCACTTTCTATCTCCAGGATAACATGCCCCTTCCTTTTGGTCAAAGTCAGCACATCCACTATCCCATCGTGGACTTCTCTCCGTTACCCACTCATGTTTTCCAGATGTCTTTTTGCATTACACCACACTTTCTAAAAAGGTTTCCTAGACCTCTCAGCCCATTGAGACTTAACTCCTAAACTCCTCTGGCCATGACCATCGGAACTATATACAGAGATAGAGATAGATAGATAGATAGATAGATAGATAGATAGATAGATAGATACAGACAGACAGACAGACAGACAGACACACACACACACACACACACACTGATTTGTATTGTTAATTTGTGACCCTCAAAAGCTGTCATCAGGCTTCCTCAACACAGTAGTAATTTCATTATGGGTTGTAATTTTAATTCTTCCCATTAGCTAGTGGTAGGCACATGATACCCAGTAAGTGTACATCTGATAACAAAAGTCAAATAGACTGAAGCTGTAGACATTGTATGAAAATTCAACAGAAACCTCTACACATCCTATCAAAAAGTTCTGAAACTTTCTATCAAGTCAGTTGCTAGTTGTAAGACCTTAGACAAGCCACCTAATTTCCCCAAGCCTATGTTTCCTCTGTGGTAAGTTTTTTAGATGAGCCCTCTTTTCTCATATTCAATGACACTAATATGATGGAACCAGGAGAGTCTTCAACTTTTTGTGTTCTTTAATGTTTTTTCTTTATTTTATCAAAAACTTTGAATATTTTTTCAAATTCTGCCTCCAAAGGAAAACTGAGATACAGAGAAAAGGAATTTCCTATCATCTAAGTTGTCACAGATACCTGCAGAGATGCATGTCATTGATGGCAAAGTTGCATCAGCCTCACTGCATGTTGACTGTCCCATGGGTTATTATGGCTTTGATAAGAGGTTAAACTTGGCAGAAACAAAATAGACCTAAATCCAGCAGGAATAAACATCTGAACTCCTGCCCTGTACTCAGGTAGAATTGACTTGGCTTCATGGAAAATGAAATAATTCTGCCATTCCAAATATCTGCTCTTTGACTGTGACTGTGGTAAGATTATTGAACTTGTGGAAGTCTACCTATTGAACTGAGCTAATATGCAGCACACAGGTGGCATTTACCAAGCACTACCACACCATAGCATCTCCACATGTGTATCAGCATTCAAAACCATGTGTGGTGTCACCTGCAGATTCCACCTCTGCCTTTCACTTTCTGTATATGGTGTGACACATGGACTCGGTTTCTATGTATGCAAAAGGGGAAGGAAGAGTCCTTTAGGGAATGAGGTGCTCTGGCTTTAGCTTTCTGGGATTTTGGCATATGTTCTACTCCCCAGCCCCCGGTTCATTCTGAGCACCTTCTTTGGAGAAGAAACACTGGGTTATCCAGGGGTTTAGGGTGGAGTGGGAACCAGACATCCCTACCCAGAATTGCTCCTGATAGTTCCCAGTGGCCATAGACCAAGGCACAGGCACATATCATTGTCCTTAAGGGTCAGGCTGGGCTGCAAGGCAGGTGACCAATCCTGGGGCATTCTTCTGCCTTCTCCACCACATTCTGCTTTCTGCCTACTTCTCGTTTTTTATTTGAAGGCATGGTTTGTGTGTCTTTATTCCCAAAAGGTTCAGTGGGATTCCTATTACTTCAGATTGTCTTTCTGACTCGCTTGCCATAAGCAGACATAATGTTTATCCTTCCCTTACTCCATTTGGGGTTCCAAATTCTTGGGATGTCTTAGACACACAATAAGCACACAAGCTATTGTGCACCATGATCTAGGGATGGCCTAAGTGTGTAAAATCCTGATGCCTTTTCTCTTTCTAGGTGACAGTTGATCTCCAGGCTGAAGACCTGAATTTTGTTTACTTCTTCCAGCAGTGCAAAAGCACATTCAGGTGAATGACTAGCGATGCACCCGCAGTGCATGCTGCAAGACACCACCACGCAGCTGCAGACAGGGCAGGGCAGCAGTCAGGGGAAGACTGAGATGGAGTCACACTGTCGTGAAATCACTCTGCAGTCCAGCACATAATTGCTATCTATCCATAGACCATTCTTGGCCAAGCAAGCATGCACGTTACGGGCAGTTGACATTCTCAAGTTTTTAAAACCAAGGGGAAACTTGTATACTGGGCCTGTTTTTCAGCCTGTTTGCTACCTTTTTTGCATTCTATCCCATGTGAATTTTACAGACACTGGGCTAAAAAAGGGGGGGTATTTGGACACCTGGACACATTCCTAGAATGTCATCAACTCCTAATTCTACGTCACCAAATGACACAGACAAGACCCTGTTTACAACTTTTTCTTTCTTTTTTTAAGTTCAGATCTTTCTGAGGATATGATTCTATATGGCATATCTATAGCTATGTGTATGGCCATAGATGTATTTCTGTGTGTACATATGTATAGTCATGTATTCCTACATATGTACATACAAATGCAGAGGTATATAAAGTACATAGGAATTCCTTATTTGTAAATAGCCAAAAGCACTTACATGAATGATGAATTTTCACATTTAAACAGTCACCAACATGAAGCCATGTTTAATGCTTGTATAATGTGATACAATAAAATTTAAAATAAATTTATGCACATGGAATATTTTCAGCTGACTCTTCTGATCTTCTGTTTATTTTCTCCTTTGGGATAAAAGGGATAACATGGTCCACTTTTTAATGCAAACTTTCTTACCCCCACCACTCTATTTGCAAATTACTCCAATTGTGTTTTTCTTCCTTGCCCATCTTTTTTTCCCCATCTTGCTTCTATACTGCCTTCTTGGTGTACAGAGCCAATGGCTTAAAAATCACTATTAAGAGTTTGGAAATGCCACTAGCACAGTATGTAAGGGAAGAAAAGAAAATGTAATCGTCAATACTGAGCATGCTTCTATGTCCCTGCCTGCTAGACTATTGCACTAATTCTAAAGAAGAGCCACCTGTCTGGGTACTTGACCAGACAGGGGGAGAAATTACTCTTCTTCCAGAGATGCAGCATCTATTAAATTCATTCACACTATGTGTATTTAGGTGTATAGAATTTTTTATAACCGTATTATCAGCAGGAAATGATTACTATAGTCAAATTTATGTGCTCATAAATTTGTACTAGTCCATATTTCTGTAACAAAAATACTTAAAACTGGATACTTTATAAAGAAGAGAGATTTACTTAGATCACAGTTTTAAAGGTTTAAATTTCAGTCATGGGTGGTCCCAAGGTTTTGGCCACTGGTGAGGAAGCCACCATTTGCAACAGAATGATAGAACAGCAAAAAAGGGAAGCAGTTGCACACAAGGACAGATAGCCTGGCAAGACAGGATGCCACAGAAATTCAGGAGTTGGGCTCACTTATTTTTAGTAGCACGAGTCCCAAGGGTCCCACAAGAATGACATTAAGCTTTGACATTATGTGACCATTGACATAGTATTCTTCTTTAGTGTCGGTTAGTCATGTCATATTTCAACATTGTACTCATCATTAAAATCTCAGTTGTTCAGGTCATTCAGAAGCACAGTGATTTCAAGCATGAAGTTTTTCAAATCAGTATCAATGAGGTTAAGTCATGGAAATTGCAGAAATTTTTGTTGACTAAAAATGTAAAGCTTCATATTTATATTTATATGTGTGTTTATGTGCACATGCATTCATTAAACACTTTCTAGGCTTCTTGTTTATTTGTTTGTTCTTGAGACAGGGTTTCATGAAGCCTAGGATACTCTTGAACTCACTATGTAGCTGAGGATGACCTTGAACTCCTGATACTCCTGTCTCTACCTGCTGAGTGCTGGAATTATACCATGTCTGACTTCAAGAGATCCCAGTAATCTCATGGTGTTTGAGAAGGCTGTTATTAGAAGTTCTTGGTGGGATTCAATGGACATCTCTTCTCAGCATGCAAAAACATAATCTTCAGCCAGGTATAATGGTGCATGCCTTTAATCCCAGCACTCAGAGACAGAGAAAAAAAGGATCTCTAAATTTGAGGCCAGCCTGGTCTACAAAGTGAGGTCCAGGTCAGCCATGGCTACACAGAGAAACCCTATCTCAAAAAACAAAACAAACTACATGGCATTAGGAGTTTACTTGAGACTGAATGTTGGAATTTTATGTGTGTTAAGAGCATAATCAGTTTACCACTAAATCTTATAACATCCACCCCCCACCAATCCACTCTGGTCCATACTGCATGCAGTATGGTCTTAATACTGTTTCAGCTATTGAAGGGACTACTAAATAAAACCCTCAAAACGCTACCCTCTTGAATCATTGTTTTTTTAGCATACAATGAACTGCTATAATTTTTGATCTGCAGTAGCCCCCAAAGGCTGTGCATAAAAAGCTTGGTTGTCAGATTGTCACCATTAAAAAGAAATGGAGCCATTCAATATAAAGTGGACTACTTATGAAAATGTAGGGCAGAGCAAGATGGCAGCTAAGACCTCCAGTGATTGTCTCCCTGTAGGAGATGCCAAGTGGAACAGCTCCTCGAGTAACAAATTATCTTCACTATAGCTCATTGGATTAGATTGTGAAACCCTGAAAGGAATGCAGTAAAGTCTGATTTTCTGTGATTTAACAAAGTGGCTGAATAAGGCCCCCACTCACCGGATTCTCCTCCACCAAAGCAACAAGGAGTATTGCATATCAAGATGCATGACCCCAGCATAACACTGAAATTCAACAGTAGAAAAATGGAAACCA